ATATATATATATATATATATATATATATATATATATATATATATATATATATATATATATAATGCAGAGAATTCGTAGTTTGGAAGTTAGGAGGAGGTGCGGGATTACCAAAACTGTTGTCCAGAGGGCTGAGGAAGGGTTGTTGAGGTGGTTCGGACATGTAGAGAGAATGGAGCGAAACAGAATGACTTCAAGAGTGTATCAGTCTGTAGTGGAAGGAAGGCGGGGTAGGGGTCGGCCTAGGAAAGGTTGGAGAGAGGGGGTAAAGGAGGTTTTGTGTGCAAGGGGCTTGGACTTCCAGCAGGCATGCGTGAGCGTGTTTGATAGGAGTGAATGGAGACAAATGGTTTTTAATACTTGACGGGCTGTTGGAGTGTGAGCAAAGTAACATTTATGAAGGGGTTCAGGGAAACCGGCAGGCCGGACTTGAGTCCTGGAGATGGGAAGTACAGTGCCTGCACTCTGAAGGAGGGATGTTAATGTTGCAGTTTAAAAACTGTAGTGTAAAGCACCCTTCTGGCAAGACAGTGATGGAGTGAATGATGGTGAAAGTTTTTCTTTTTCGGGCCACCCTGCCTTGGTGGGAATCGGCCAGTGTGATAATAAAAAAATAAATAATAAATATATATATATATAATATATATATATAATGTGTCGAATAGGTAAAACTAGCAATGCTTCTCTTGCCGAATAAGGCAAGCGAAAATTTGTGTAGGCAATAATTTCGCAAAAATAATTCTGAACCTAACGAATAAACATATTTCAGTGTGTTTGTTTATTATTAAATAATCGTAAACTTATCTAAAGGATATATAGTTGAATTAGGCCAAATTAAATTGCGCTTTTATAATAAGGTTAAATAAGTTTTCTAAGGTTTTTTTGGAACAAAATTTTTAATTTTTACATTAACATAAATTAAAAAATATATCGTTAAACGTATAAGAAACAATTTTAGAAAGGGCTTAATTTTAAATGAGTTATTGCTAATTTACCAGTTTTATCTATTTGGCACGACACACATATATATATATATGGTAGTAGGTTGGCAGACAGCAACCTCCCAGGGGGCACTACCGTCCTGTGGTAGTAGGTTGGTAGATAGCAACCACCCAGGAAAGCACTACCGTCCTGTGGTAGTAGGTTGCTAGACAGCAACCACCCAGGGAGGCACTACCGTCCTGTGGTAGTAGGTTGGTAGACATCAATCACCCAGGGAGGCACTACCGTCCTTTGGTAGTAGGTTGGTAGACAGCAACCTCCCAGGAAGGCACTACCGTCCTGTGGTAGTAGATTGGTAGACAGCAACCACCCAGGGAGGCACTACCGTCTTGTGGTAGTAAGTTGGTAAACAGCAACCACCCAGGGAGGCACTACCGTCCTGTGGTAGTAGGTTGGTAGACAGCAACCACCCAAGGAGGCACTACCGTCCTGTGGTAGTAGGTTGGCAGACAGCAACCACCCAGGGAGGCACTACCGTCCTGTGGTAGTAGGTTGGTAGACAGCAACCACCCAGGGAGGTACTACCGTCCTGTGGTAGTAGGTTGGTAGACAGCAACCAGCCAGGGAGGTGGTTGCCAAGTAAGTGTTAAGCGTAAACCTGTAATTGTTTTACATGATGGTAGGATTGCTTGTGTCTTTTGTCTGTCTCATAACCTTACACTTAGGTCACACAACACATGCATGTACACGCATACACAGTGGAACGCCGGTGTAGGTGGTGTTCGAACTGCGAAAAGTTCAATGTCCGAAACACTATTTTCCAGGCTTTAATTATCAGCCACACACACCGGAGGATGTTGAACTGACTCTTCCAAAAGTCTCTGAGAGTTAGGTCAGTGTCAGAGGTCATTTCAAAGTTTTATGCAAATGAATCTTAAACAAGTGAGCGTGTTGGGACTCCAGAAAAATGTTCAAAGACCGGGTTATTTTTTTCTGAACAAAATTGTTTGGACTCCGGTTTGTTCCAGATCCAGTACGTTCGAAAACCGAGGTTCCACTATATATATATATATATATATATATATATATATATATATATATATATATATATATATATATATACACACACCCATCTGGGTTTTCTTCTATTTTCTTAATATTTTTTTGTTCTTTATTTCCTCTTGTCTCCATCGGGAAGTGGAACAGGATTCTTTCTCTGTAAGTCACGCATGTCGTAAGAGGCGACTAAAATGCCGGGAGGATGGGGCTAGTAACCCCTTCTTCTGTATATATTATTATATTTAAAAAGAAAAACTTTCATTTTCCTTTTTAGGTCACCCTGCCTCGGTGGGTTGCGGCCAGTGTGATGAAAAAAAAAGAGAAAATATACAGTAATTGAATGTAGAAGGCAAGGTTACCATTGTTAAAGTATACTTTACTGACGTTTACATTCTCCACCGACTTTTCATTTTCTGATCACATTTTTTACGAGGTATGGAGGCCCGTATTACATGGGATAATGCTATCACATCCGACAGTATGCCCACATAAAAACTTCGGTAACGATCATTTTATTAGTGTGTCGAAAGATGCCATTCTTCCGCCCCTCCCTGGAGCTGCTGTGTGAAGATTGTCTCAGAGTCCTTCCTATTCCCTTCCCCTCCTGTCCACACACACACACACACGCCTGCGTTCCCTCTAAACACGCCTTCGTTCCAGTTTCACACGCCTACGCTCCCTTTACATAAGTCTGTTTCTCATTTACAAACACCTACGCTACTCCTACATAAGCCTTCGTTCCAATTACACACAACTACTTTTCCCCGCACATCCCTACGTTCCCTTTACAAACGCTTACGTTCCCTCTAAGCATGCACACATTCCCCACACATGCCCACGTTCTCTTTGTTTTTAACTTACGTGAATTTGCGTAAGAAATAAAACGCCGCCTGAACATGGTTGCAAGTGATGCAAAGCTCCAGTACATAATAAACAATACAAATGACCACACAGTAAATCCCTACAACAAAACGGCTCTTGATTAATTTAACAGACGGAGGGAAGAGATGGATGATACAGTTTAATGTAGTTGGCCTTGTAATGGGAGAGAGAAAAAAATGGGAAACACCTTGAGTGTATATATTATATTGTGTACGAAATTACTGAAGGTGTCGGAGGTATCTAGATGTGGTCATCTACACTGGAGGTTAGGTAAGGTTCGTTAGGAAACAGGACGAGTATTTCCTGACGCGGGTCTTAGTCATATGATGACCCGCCGTTGGAGCTTTTGGTCATCTAACCGAGGCCTTTCCCTGGCTTACCGGTTCACCCCTTTAAAAATTATGGTAATTATAACCATTTTGTTTATTATTGACACAGGAAGATGATATAAACGAAACTCTGAGAACTCCGTATATTACACTAACAACGTATAATACAACTTTCAGTTAACTAGATGGAGAAAAAAATTTTCTTTTTTTTTCGTTTTACAAAATACAGTGGATGTCGGATGCCCACGCATTTAAAAAAAAAAACATGTGCACAAAATAGAAAAAGTTGATAAAAAGTTACAAAATGGCCTCAAAATCAAAAAATAAAAATGAAAGTTGTGTAAAGTATAAGTTTGTATTAATATTGGTAGAATTACCGACAATATGTTAAGTAAAAAGACACAAGTGCAACTAATGTGACATTTTATTGTGGCAGTGCAACTAATGTGACATTTTATTGTGGCAACGTTTCGCTCTCCAGGATCGAAACGGTTTGATAAAGCTCCTGGAGAGCGAGACGTTGCCACAATAAAATGTCACATTTTGATAAATTAGACACATGTGCAACTCTTGGGTATCTTTATTGAGGAAACGTTTCGCCACACAGTGGCTTCATCAGTCCATACGTAGAAGAAACTTGAAGAACAGGAGATGGATGGACTGAACACATCGACTCAAGGTTGAGGGACTGATTACCTCATTCTCCTCCTGTTCTTCAAGTTTCTCCTACGTATGGACTGATGAAGCCACTGTGTGGCGAAACGTTTCCTCAATAAAGATACCCAAGAGTTGCACATGCGTCTAATTTATCAACATGTCGGTTCTCTGAACCATTCATCTACAAATCTGTCAGACACTGCAACTTCTTGGGATCTTAATACTTAGGAATTCTTCGCTTGCCTAATTCTTGGGCACGACCTACTTCCACATTGAACAAATGTGACACCACCTATGACTGCTGCACCTCTCCTGCCATACGGTTTACAAGCTGCTTCTCCGCTCATATGCCGTATTCTATTCAAGATTGATGGACTGAACACATCGACTCAAGGTTGAGGGACTGATTACCTCTTTCTCCTCCTGTTCTTCAAGTTTCTCCTACGTATGGACTGATGAAGCCACTGTGTGGCGAAACGTTTCCTCAATAAAGATACCCAAGAGTTGCACATGTGTCTAATTTATCAATATGTCGGTTCTCTGAACCATTCATCTACAAACCTGTCACATTTTATTGTGTGTCCTTTTACTTAACTATAAGCTTCCTTAGCGGATAATGGGAGGAAAACATGATACACAGATAATGATACGAGAAAGTAAATAAGGATAACAAGGATAATAAGAGATCCTCACACTTGTAAACTGAGGGAAAACAGAGAAACAATGGCTACAAGATACCAGAAAAAAAATATTTCTTAGCAAACAGTGTGGAGAAACAATAGAATAAATTCAATAGATTTTTTGAAAAATGACTGAAAACTGGACACCATCATAAAAATTATGTTGATATAATTGCAAAAAGGTAATCACACACACACACACACACACACACACACACACACACACACACACACACACACACACACACACACACACACACACACACACACACACATACACACACACATACACACACACATATACACACACACATATACACACACACATATACACACACACATATACACACACACATATACACACACATATATATACACACACACACACACCAAGCAAAATACACAGCTGTACCTCACAGCTCTGTATGTTACAAGTGTAGTGTTGACACTGCAGACGGGCCGGTGTGGATCAGGGTACCAGCAGGAAGAATCGACGTAGTGGAAGGTGACACAGTGACCCTCACTGCAGCAGCCACCGCCAACCCTGGACCTATAACGTAAGTTTTGCCTCCTCTCCACCTCAAACTACATACACCCTAGTCTCGTCAGGTGGGTCTCGTTCCCGTCCTCTAATTAGTCTTGATCTCGTCAGATAGGACTTGCGTTCCTCAACTAAGTCTGCATACGCAAGTTTGATTTCTATTTTGTTAGGTAGCTTCTGCGCCCTACCAGAATTTCTGAAGCAGTTTCGTTACTCTGGCTCTGTCTAGTATCACATATATTCTGGACCCCATCAGTTCTTTTATTTTTTTCCTCAAGGAGGGAAAAAAAATTCACTGATGAAATCAAACGAAAAATATTACTGGATGAAATAATACAAAATGTCAGAGATATTCACCTATATTATTGTTTTTTACTCTTAGTGTTATAGTATTATTATTATCATTATTATTATTATTATTATTATTATTATTATTATTATTATTATTATTACTATTATTATTATATTCATGAGGAAGTGCTAAACTCATAGGGGTCATCCAGTACCTGAGGAATAGGAGGTAATCAGGTTTGATTTGACGAATCTGAGTGCAGCTCCAGCTCCTCACATCAAGAGCCAGTCAGCCAACATTAAACTCTAATTAAAATCAAATTTTCGACAATCAGTTTAAAAAACAATATTCTGTTGGTCATCTAGGTATCCAAAGGAAATTAGGAAAGAGAAGAGTAGGTGCCGTAAGAGGACACCTGAGGAGTTAACAAGGCATCGTTTACAGGTACATCTGGTGGCGTGGGAACGAAGAGATAGGCGGAGCTGAGAGTAGGGGCGGGGCGCTCAGCATGGGCGTGCTCAAGAGAACACACGCCCATAATTACACCGTCACCGCCCGCAGTCCGCGAGGGGCTCTCACCTCACCTTTCTTCCTCAACGTGCAGTGTGAGTGAGCTCTTCTTGCTAAAAAAGTCTAACTCAGGGGTGTAACTACGAGGACCCGTGTTTGATCCCTGAGCGAAGGCTGTTCGTATGGATGACTCTTTTTATACAGTGAACCTTTGATACAACTGAGTATTTAGTGGGGGTAACGGGAAGTCAATTATGGTAATCGTGGTGAATAGCAAGAAGGATTTTTTCCTTGCTAATTCTGCAACCAACGTACATTTTTATTTCTGAATTGATTGATCAGCGGGCATACTAATTTTAATGGGAATAAGAAATAGTTTTGGAGCGAGATTAATAAGTTAAGAAATCCTAATAAACGAATGGATTTGACAGTTAGTATTAAATTATTGTAAATAAATCTAAAATATGTATGGTTGGGTTAGGCTAAAATAAATTGTTCTTGTTATAATAAGGTTAGGTAAGTTTTCTAAGATTCTTCTGGTGCAAAATTAAAAAATTTACATTAACATTAATGAAAAAAATATATCTTTAAATGTATAGGAGAAAATTTTAGAAAGGACTTAATTTTAAATGAGTTCTTGCTAATTGACCAGTTTTACATATTCGGCACGACATATATATATATATATATATATATATATATATATATATATATATATATATATATATATATATATATATATATATATATATATAATATATATAATATATATATATATATATATATATATATATATATATATTATATTATATATATATATATATATATATATATTATATATATATATATATATATATATATATATATATATATATATGTATGTTTTCCACCGGTTGCAGATGGACCAGAAGGAGTGAAAGCGGAGAAGAGAGTGATGGTTGAGCAGGGAGGCTCAGTGACCGTCCTGTGTTCGGCTCTGGGCAACCCAACACCAAACATTACCTGGACCAGAGACGCCGCCAATACCAGGTAAACTCTGACAGTATACCGGACAGCGCCAGGGAGTCTGTTATTAATATTATTACACGCAACACCAGGTGATCTTCCAACGTTCTTACAAACAGTACCAAGTGATCTTCCCTCAGTGTCTTACACATGCTAACGGTATCTCCCACTATTGTTTAGACAACTCTCACCCTCACTGTGTAAAGCAGATGAACTGATGTATGCTATTGGCTATGATCGCCTCTTAGCTCCTTTAGTTTACGATGGGTATTAACCTCGGTCTAAAAAGGGAATTTGAAATATAATGCAAAGATGATAAATTAGACACATGTGCGACACTTCGGTATCTTTATTGAGGAAACGTTTCTCCACACAGTGGCTTCATCAGTCCTATACAAAGATGAATGATGAACAGGAGTTTGATATAATCAGTCCCTCAGCCTGGAGTCGATCAGTCTTGAAAAGATTGATGGACTGATTACATCGACTCCAGACTGAGGGACTGATTACGTCAAACTCCTTCTGTTCCTCACTATTCATCTTTGTATGGACTGATAAAGTTACTGTGTGGCGAAACGTTTTCTCAATAAAGATACCCAAGTGTTGGGCATGTGTCTAATTTATCAACTTGTCGGTTCTCTGAACTATATGTCTGCATAATGCAAAGATGTACGTGTTTCTGGAAGACATTTCTTAGGTCAGGACAGTGTCAGTATTGATCAAAAATTCATTGCCGAAAACGGATTATTGGGAATAATTTATTAACGCATTGCTAGGCCCCGAAAAATATAATTGGTGAAATTTTTTATTATTTATTACATGAATAATGATATAATTTGAGCAAATAAAGTTAACCTTGAATAGAGAGGAAAAAGAATTTAGTCTGGCTGACCACTATCTGTGTGTTGCCCGGACCAGTGGACCAGCAGTGCTGTCCCGAGGCGTGGGTGTGGCGCGCCTGGTGGTGGAGTGGGCGTCGCAGGCTGACACTGGCGTGTACCTCTGCCACGCCTCCAGCACCGTCTCCACGCCACCTGCCGTCTCCACCACACTCATTGTGCAACGTGAGTCCAACACAATATTTTTCCTGTTTTTCACTATAATAAATTGCAATGTACGTTGATGAGTTAGGTTGATGAGTCAAATTGATGGGTCAAGTTGATGGGTTTGATCCAGGGACGGGGATAGGGATAGCTCCAATTCCTTAAATCAAAAGCCCCTCAACATCAAGGCACTGGCCTTTTTTCCCCTTCCTTATTATTATTATTATTATTATTATTATTATTATTATTATTATTATTAACATTACCGGGTAATACTGTCATGGGGAAGCGCTAAATCCCTATGGGGCATTCAACCCTATGAAAATGAGATTTGACCCGAGAAAGAAAAAAAATAGCTCCACTTCCTTGGATCAAGAGCACCTCCACGAGCATGAAAGGAACTGGACGAGGTTTCGATCCCTCCTGGAGCATTGTGATGCCCTGCCCTCTACGGGTTTAGCGCTCATTCATGATTAACAATAATGATGAATATTATTGTTATTATCATTATTATTATTATTGTTGTTGTTGTTGTTGTTGTTGTTGTTGTTGTGTGTCAATAATAAGAAACTAGAAAGGCATAAAGGACATCTTTAGAGAACGTTTCGCTCATTATATGTGCATAGAGAAGGAGGGGAAGAAGAAGAGTAAGACAGAGATAACAAAGGAGGAGGAGGAGGAGAACTACAGCAGCAGCCAGAGAAAAAGGAAGAATAAGAAGGAAAAAAGAAATAAGGAAAAAAAGAAGAAATAAGGGGAAAGGAAGAATAAAAGAAAACAGAAATAAAGAAAGAAAGAAGGAAAAAAAAGAAATAAGTAAAAAAAAAGAAGAATTAGAAAAAAAAGGAAAGGAAAAGAAGAAATAAGAAAAAGAAGAAATAAGAAGGAAAACAAGAGGACAAAGAAGCAAGTGGATGACTGCCACTCCCACTCTGGAGTACATCCCAACCATACTCCATATCTTTTTTTTTTTCCATCACTATCAAAATGTATACCCACCCCCCCAAAAAAAATATTAAAAGATCCAATAGCTTCATAACCAACAATCCATCCACAAGTCCAACAAATCCATCCACAAGTCCAACAAATCTATCCTCACGTCCAACAAGTACAACAAATTCACCAGTACAGTTCAATTAGCCATCAGGAAGTCGGCGACACTTCACGTTACAAGTCAATTAAAGTTTTATGCACTTGAGCTCAACTTTTCTCCACAAGACTTATTTCTCCAAGAACCTTTTGTCATTTATAATTAAAAATATGCGGAGATAATGTGTGTGTGTGTGTGTGTGTGTGTGTGTGTGTGTGTGTGTGTGTGGTGTGTGTGTGTATATATATATATATATATATATATATATATATATATATATATATATATATATATATATATTATATATATATGTATATGTATATATATATACTGTATATATATAGTGCATGTCCTCATGGGGAAAAGCTAAATTTGTAGGGTTCGTACAGCTGGTTTGACCCGAGGAATGTGAGAGTAACAGTGTGGTAGGATCAAGAGCCCCCAACCCCAGCATCAAGGCAGTGAGTGGTCTTGATGGATCCATCTTTCAAGTGAGGCGTGAGTCTGACCAGCAACAGCACAGTCTTGACACACTAATAACTCTCATTACTATCTTTGTTCTTACATAATTATGTGAGAACGTTACAAGGGCGATACAACACATTGTGTGTTGTATCGCCCTTAATGGTTTACAGTATTTTTAATAATAATAAGAATAAGAAGGATCCTTGTTGGTATACATAGCCTTGTCATAGACGTTTGTTTACCATGTGTTATGCTACATACCAATGTGTCCTGGGAAGTAAAAATATGTATTATACCATTGTCATTGTTCAAGCATCATAATTTTGTATTTGTTTACACCCTGACAGAGGCGCCTTGGTGGCCCAACACGGGGCCAGACGAGGTTGTGGGCGGGTCGTGGGCGGTGATGGGCGGCAGTGGGCGGCTGGAGTGCAGCGTGCGGGCGGCTCCACAGCCCACTTTCCACTGGGCTACCCAGGATGGACGGGAGATACAAACAGGCACCAAGTACACGCTGGAAGATGCCCAGGTAATGTGCACTGCTGCACCAATAATAATAATAATAATAATAATAATAATATACAAATTATGATTTCAAAATTTTGGAAACGTGAGAACTTGTGTAAATGTATTATATGGACTGAAATGCTGCTCAGTGGTGACGGTGGTGGTGGTGGTGGCGGCGGAGATGGTGATAGTGGTGATTGTGGTTGGAATGGTGGTGGTGGCCTGAGGTCCGAGTAAGAAGGAATCAATAACCAGCCGTGACGTGTGGTGGTCCTGAAGGGAAAATATTGTATCAATTTACCGACCTGACAGAACTACACCGTCCAAGATCCTCCTGCAGCTGATTCTGCCTATATTCTTTTTTCCCGCGGTGATATATCTGGTGCGAGGCGAGGTCTGCACAGGTGTCTGCTGGACGCGGGCTGAAGCAGCGATACCCACCTTCATGGAGGTTCAGACGTGATCTGATTACCTCTTCCTCAGTGGGACGGCCGCTCAGATAATGACAAAAGAATTCTTTCTCTTGATTATTAACCTCAAAGTGTCAATAACCCAAGAAAGCTAAGCAGCATGGTTTATTTCCGTTGGGATCCTCGTGTCCTCTCCCGCTGGATTCGATCCCAGATACTTTCGGTTGTGAGCTGAGCGTGCTACCAGTGAGTTTAAGTCAAAAAATGAAGAGAGTCCAGGTGTGTGTGTGTGTAGATACGAGACACTGGTGATCACTGCTCACCTACGCAGCGACTCACCTTCACACTGACTTACTAACGTCAACGTTTATTTACTATATATTTACATTATTAACGAAAGCAGTAGGTGTTTGTGCCGCTTTGTAACATATGTTGCAAAGTTCTTTTTGACTTTACACCAATTTAATACTCATTATTAACCTATTTTATTACCCCATGCTTGGGTAAATTTATCACCAATTAACAGTATGAATATAAATTACGTTTTTCATTTTTATTTATATGAGGAATATAAATTTATTATATATTTAAAAATGGCTCTCTTCAATTTTATTTTATGATTTTTAAAATATCGGAAGACTAGCCTGTAGGGAAGAGGGGTGGGGAGTTATTGCCCAACTTACAACTGATCTATACAGTTAATGGTGAGGTCTATTTTCCTAAGACAGTGTTAATTATAGCTACGCTTGTCAGTGACATGGCCATAAATTTTAAAGGGGTGGACCGGTAAGCCAGCGGAAGGCCTCGGTCAGATGACCAAAAGCTCCAGCTGTGGGTCATCATTATAACTAAGACCCGCGTCAAGAAACACTTGTTCTGTTTCCTGACAAAAACCTTACCAACCAACCAACTTGTCAGTGATACATGGGTGCAGTACACAGTGCTGTTGCATGATACAGTTAAATACAGTCACACAGCACTTACACCCAGAAGTGTACATCTCTCAGTGCGAATATGATAATGGTATACGATACCATGAATTACAATACTAGGAATAACACCATGAATTGCAACACCATGAATAACAATGCCATGATTTAGAATACCATGAATAACAAGATCAGTATACATTTGTATTCAAGTGTCATAAGCAGTGATTGGTGAACACTGAGAGACCACTTTGATGAACACTGAGAGACCACTTTGATGAACACTGAGAGACCACTTTGATGAACACTGAGACCACTTTGATGAACACTGAGAGACCACTTGAACACTGAGAGACCACTTTGATGAACACTGAGAGACCACTTTGATGAACACTGAGAGACCACTTTGCACTGAAAACTGAAACTCCAGTAAAGAAAAGTCTATACATTTCGGGTTTAAGAGACCCAAGCCACTGAAGAGGGTCTCTAACTGAGGCTGAAATGCATAGATCCTTTTCACTTGTCTTTTTTTTTCATTCATAGGTTTTTCCCCCTAATTTTCACAAATAGTTAAATATAAACACCCTCACAAAACCTGGATAGATCATTTATAAGTTTTTTGGCGTAAATGTTATATGGAGTAAGTTTGGCTCGTGTTTGGGGTGTCATATACATAAAAAAATGAACTAATGTTATTTCGTTGCTGTATTTCCAGATGTATATTTTCTGTGGAAGTTTACTGCATATATTTTTACTACAGATTATGGCCGATCCCCAAATTTATGGCACGATGAAGGGGAGCCCTTGGAGATACCTTCATGATTTTTTTTAAATCTTTGACCATGCTAATACTACGCCAGTCTGTCTGTCTGTCTCTCTCTCTCTCTCTCTCTCTCTCTCTCTCTCTCTCTCTCTCTCTCTCTCTCTCTCTCTCTCTCTCTCTCTCTCTCTCTCTCTCTCTCTCTCTCTCTCTCTCTCTCTCAACAGAAGGTTTGACAAGGTTAGGTTAAGGATCCCTAACTTTATTGACAAGCTATTTCAGGTTAAAGATTCTTAACTTTATTGGCAAGCTAAGAGCTGTTACCTACATCAGCTCATTTGAAAGCATTTTTATTGTTATGAGACATACAAATAGGGAATAGGATGAAGTTGGAGCCATATGTGGGCCGGCATTTTCATCTGATCAACTGACTTTATCTCGTTGACATCATTATACCGTACGAATGTGTTCCATACTCGTCATTCTGGGGATAAATGATCTCAGATGAAGTGATGTTCTGGAGAAGGGTACAGCCAGAGTGAAGTTGCTGCTTTCTGCCCGTCTTTTGGTATACAAGTTTGCTTCACGCTGTCCTCGAAGTGGATCCAGGTGTGGTACTTTGGCAATATTGGCCTTGTAAATAACAGTAAGGCCACCCACATCCCTCCTGTGTTGAAGGCTCTGCTGAAATGACAGATCTATCCAGGATTGGTCCAGGCGAGAGATGAGACGTCTTGCTTTGTTCTCTACTCTGTCAAGCAGTCGCAGATGAGCGGGGGCCAGGCAAACCAAGATAGTGGAGCATACTCCTCTCTCTCTCTCTCTCTCTCTCTCTCTCTCTCTCTCTCTCTCTCTCTCTCTCTCTCTCTCTCTCTCTCTCTCTCTCTCTCTCTCTCAGCAGACTGGGAATGACGACGCAGCGGCGAGGGTCTCCTCACAAGGGGATGCCAACCTTCACTGGTCCACACATTATTTCTCTCACTTGACCATTAATCTCCTTTCTCTCTTCCTCTCCTCCTCCTCCTCCTCCTCCTCCTCCTCCTCCTCCTCCTCCTCCTTCTTCTTCTTCTTCTCCTCCTCCTCCTCCTTCCCCCCTCCCTACAGCTGTCCGACGGAGTAGTGGAGTGGAGGTCTGTGATGGAGGTACACGGAGTCACACCTCGGGACTACACACACTACACCTGCACAGCCTCCAACACCTTGGGCAAGCACTCCTCCAGGCTGGTGTTGACCCCACCTGTGCCACCTGCTACACCACTCCACCTCACAGTAAGTAGAGCTACCTCTCTCTCTCTCTCTCTCTCAAACCATCAAGAAAATTTTATACATTCTGATCTGACGATTATTAACCAGAAATTCGCAAAAATGTTATATTGGCTGGTATAATTTTAGTTATTTTTTAGTCTCCATATTTCAAAATATTCTAAAAATCTGAAAAAAGGATGGGGCACTAAATAATAATAATAATTATAATAATAATAATAATTAATAATAATAATAATGAGAGGTAATTACGTTTGATACAAGGTAAAGTGGACAGTTTCATTGAGGTTGGACGCACTGAAGACTATTGATGGGCGATTACGATTTTATCTCGTGACCTCTAACGGTAATGAAGTCATGTTGTATTTTATGCGAAGCGCTAAACCTGTGAGGGGGGTCATTCGACGCAGGGAATGGTGATGGAGGCTCGATCCTCCGTCCACTAATCGTCAGTCAGACAAGCTGAAGGGTTGAGTCACACTTCTTGACGCTGATGTTTGACTTCTTAATTTATTATTATAATCACTGGGAACCACTAAGAATGCATGGGTCATGCAGCACCTGAGTACACCTGAGCACACTTGAGTACACCCGAGGACACTTGAGTACACCCGAGGACACACAGTACACCTGAGGACACTTGAGTACACCTGAGGAACAGGAGATGATGAAGTTTGAACCGAGAATGGGAAGGTATCTCCAGTTACTCAAAATTTACTAGCATCAAGAGTTTTCTCTTTTAGGAGAGACTCTTGTCCTGTATCACATTCAGTAGTCTGTGGTCCATCATCCTTGACCTCTCATTCTTCCACAGGTTGGGAACGTGTCCTCTGACGAGGTGTGGCTGGCCTGGACCCCCAACTTGTCCAAGAGTCAGCCTTCTGGCTACATCGTCAGGTACTGGAGAAGCGCTGACACTGACTACCAGGTGGGGGTCATGCCGAGTATACTGATTTTTTTTTACTGGAGAAGTGCTAAACCCAAAAGTATCAGATTAATTGATCATGAAACTCTTCTGGGTCGTACGGAGGAATGTTAGGTTAGGTATAGTTTGTCAGTAAACAGAACAAGTGTTTCCTGACGTGGGTCTAGTCATATGATGACCCGCAGTTGGAGCTTTCGGTCATCTGGCTGATTCCTTCCTCCGGCTTACCGGTCAACCCCTTTAAAAATTGTAGTTATATTTATAACCACTAGATATTCTGAGCAATGTCAGAGGTCAGTGAGGTTGAAGGTCAGTGAGGTGAAGGTCAGTGAGGTTGAAGGTCAGTGAGGTTGAAGGTCAGTGGGGTTGAAGGTCAGTGAGGTTGAAGGTCAGTGGGGTTGAAGGTCAGTGAGGTTGAAGGTCAGTGGGGTTGAAGGTCAGTGAGGTTGAAGGTCAGTGGGGTTGAAGGTCAGTGAGGTTGAAGTCCCATGAGGTTGAAAGTCAGTGAGTTGAAGTCAGTGGGTTGAAGGTCAGTGAGGTTGAAAATCAGTGAGGTTGAAGGTCAGTGAGGTTGAAGGTCAATGAGGTTGAAAGTCAGTGAGTTGAAGGTCAGTGAGGTTGAAGGTCATGAGGTTGAAAGTCAGTGAGGTTGAAGGTCAGTGAGGTTGAAGGTCAATGAGGTTGAAAGTCAGTGAGGTTGAAGGTCAGTGAGGTTGAAGGTCAGTGAGGTTGAAAGTCAGTGAGGTTGAAGGTCAGTGGGGTTGAAGGTCAGTGAGGTTGAAGTCAGTGAGGTTGAAGGTCAGTGGGGTTGAAGGTCAGTGAGGTTGAAGGTCAGTGAGGTTGAAGGTCAGTGGGGTTAAAGGTCAGTGAGGTTGAGGTCAGTGAGGTTGAAAGTCAGTGAGGTTGAGGTCAGTGGGGTTGAAGTCAGTGAGGTTGAAGGTCAGTGAGGTTGAAGGTCAGTGGGGTGAAGGTCAGTGAGGTTGAAGGTCAGTGAGTTGAAAGTCAGTGAGGTTGAAGGTCAGTGGGGTTGAAGGTCAGTGAGGTTGAAAGTCAGTGAGGTTGAAGGTCAGTGGGGTTGAAGGTCAGTGAGGTTGAAAGTCAGTGAGGTTGAAGGTCAGTGGGGATTGAAGGTCAGTGAGGTTGAAGGTCAGTGAGGTTTAAAGTCAGTGAGGTTGGAGGTCAGTGGGGTTGAAGGTCAGTGAGGTTGAAAGTCAGTGAGGTTGAAGGTCAGTGAGGTTGAAGGTCAGTGGGGTTGAAGGTCAGTGAGGTTGAAGGTCAGTGAGGTTGAAAGTCAGTGAGGTTGAAGGTCAGTGGGGTTGAAGGTCAGTGAGGTTGAAAGTCAGTGAGGTTGAAGGTCAGTGGGGTTGAAGGTCAGTGAGGTTGAAGGTCAGTGAGGTTGAAAGTCAGTGAGGTTGAAGGTCAGTGGGGTTGAAGGTCAGTGAGGTTGAAAGTCAGTGAGGTTGAAGGTCAGTGAGGTTGAAGGTCAGTGAGGTTGAAGGTCAGTGAGGTTGAAAGTCAGTGAGGTTGAAGGTCAGTGAGGGGGGGCAAAATTAGCATTATAGTTTGTGTAATAATGCTTAAATAACCCGCACAAAGGAGAATAAAACTTTTGACTACGTTTCGGTCAGCTTGCACCATTAACTAGTCACACGGCCTCGAATGGGAGTCAGTAATGGTCCAAGTCGGACAGAAACGGTTATTTATGTATTGTTCACGAATCCTTGCTGGAAGTCCAAGCCCCTCGCACACAAAACCTCCTTTACCCACTGTTTGGTTGGTCCACGCCAAACTTGTGGTTAAGCAGAAGAACAAATGAGATACAAATAATGGTTGAAGACCTTAAGCAAATGAGCGTCAAGAGATAATGTTATCTGTAGTAGAGTCAATACTGACAATTCCTGAATATAAACAGAATCAATATAATATTTATAAACTAAAATAAAATAAAACAATAAAAACAGAAGTTTACATTTTCGGGAGTGCCAGGGAGGGAGAAGTAACACCCGACCCAGGGCGAACACAGTCGACAAGTGAAAAAAGATAGAAAGGAAAGAAAAAAATATCTCCACATGAGAAGGAGAATCACCCCGTGAGGTCAGTAGGGGGTCTGGCTCAGAGGTGGCGCTGACGTACGTGTTCCTACTGGTCCAGAGGAGAGTAACAAAGGCCAAAAGCACTCACATTCATCCTGATATAAACATTAATACCTTAATGCAACCTTTCTCATCCCTTCCCTAACTCACAATAAGCTTAGGAAGAGTAATAGGGAGACTCAGAAATATATTTGGACTCACTAATCTAAATTTAAAAAAAAAAATAGGGCTTAAGGAAGGTCAGCTTGCTTGTCGGCTCCCAGAGAAGAATACCGCACGGAGCGCTTAGTAGCCAAATATTCAAACAGTTTACAAATAACTCTGGCACATCATATATACCTGACTTTCGAAAGAAACTGAACTGTCGTAGTAGCTTTTCAATAAACAGGTATAAACCCTTACCTGGATTACCTGGATTACCTGGAGGTTATTCCGGGGATCAACGCCCCCGCGGCCCGGTCCATGACCAGGCCTCCCGGTGAATCAGGGCCTGATCAACCAGGCTGTTACTGCTGGCCGCACGCAGTCCAACATATGAGCCACAGCCTGGCTGATCCGGCACTGACTTTAGGTGTCTGTCCAGCTCTCTCTTGAAAGCAGCCAGGGGCTTATTGGCAATTCCCCTAATGCTTGATGGGAGGCTGTTGAACAGTCTTGGGCCCCGGACACTTATGGTGTTTTCCCTTAGTGTACCAATGGCACCCCTACTTTTAATTGGGGGTATTTTGCATCGCCTGCCCAGTCTTTTACTTTCGTAGAGAGTGATTTCTGTGTGCAGATTCGGGACCATTCCTTCCAGGATTTTCCAAGTGTAGATTATGATTTATCTCTCCCTCCTGCGTTCCAACGAGTACAAATCAAGTGCTTCCAAGCGTTCCCAGTAGTTAAGGTGCTTGACAGAACTTATACGTGCAGTAAAGGATCTCTGTACACTCTCTAGATCTGCAATTTCACCTGCTTTGAAGAGAGATGTTAATGTACAGCAGTATTCCAGCCTAGAGAGAACAAGTGATTTGAAAAGGATCATCATTGGCTTGGCATCTCTCGTTTTGAACGTTCTCATTATCCATCCTATCATTTTCTTTGCACTTGCGATCGTGGCACTGTTGTGATCCTTGAAAGTGAGATCCTCAGACATTACTACTCCCAGGTCTCTTACATTATTTTTCTGCTCTAGTGTATGGCCAGAGTCTGTAGTATACTCTGTTCTAGTTATTATCTCCTCCAGTTTTCCGTAACGGAGTAGTAGGAATTTGTCCTCATTGAACATCATATTGTTTACCGTTGCCCACTGGAAAACTTTGTTTATATCTTCTTGGAGGTTAACCGCGTCCTCAGCAGATGACAGCCTCATGCAGATCCTAGTGTCATCCGCAAAGGATGATACGGTCCTGTGGTGTGTATCTCTGTCTATGTCTGATATGAGGATGGGGAATAAGATAGTGGCGAGTACTGTGCCTTGTGGAACAGAGCTCTTCACTATGGCAGCCTCCGATTTAACTCTGTTGACCACTAATCTTTGTGTTCGATTTGTTAGGAAGTTGAAGATCCATCTACCCACTTTCCCAGTTATTCCTTTAGCACGTATTTTATGGGTTATTACGCCATGATCGCATTTGTCAAATGCTTTTGCAAAGTCTGTGTATATTACATCTGCATTCTGATTTTCTTCCAGTGCATCCAAGGCCATATCATTGTGATCCAGTAGTTGTGAGAGGCAGGAGCGACCTGCCCTGAACCCATGTTGCCCTGGATTGTGCAGGATTTGCAATCCTGCTTCTTAGCACTCTCTCAAAGAATTTTATGATGTGGGATGTCAGAGCTATTGGTCTATAGTTCTTAGCTAATCCTTTGCTTCCACCTTTATGGAGTGGGGCTATATCCGTTGTTTTAAGTGACTGTGGAATATCACCCATGTCCAAGCTCCTTCTCCATAGTATACTTAGGGCACGTGAGAGGGGTTTCTTGCAGTTCTTAATGAACACAGAGTTCCACGAGTCTGGGCCCGGGGCTGAGTGCATGGGCATGTTGTCAATGGCTTTTTCGAAATCTATCGGAGTTAGGGTGATGTCGGAAATCTGGGATACATTTATGGAGTTTTGAGGCTCATTCATGAAGAAATCATTTGGGTCGTCGATCCTCAGACTGATTAGTGGTTCACTAAACACAGAGTCGTACTGGGATTTCGGACAAGATCCGACTGAAAGATGTTCATGTTGTGTGATTGACATTGTCATACATACTGAACACCAAAGAAATTTGTAGTCTTATGATCTGGGATGAAGACAATGAATACCAATGGTAAAATATACTGACATATATATGAATCAGACAGAATATGAAAATTTCATATTATTTTACAACACAATTGTATCTCTTGCTTCGCGACTTGTGTCGTTTTACAGCGACACGAGTTGTAAAACAAGATTTATCAAGTCAGATCAAAACTTTAACCCGTTAATAGCGTCTTCTGTAACTTGTCTTCATGTTCGTTTACAATAAATGTCATCCAGTCCGCTGATCCTGTTACTGTCTCCATCAACGGGTTTTACTTGCCGCGAGTCACACAGCACTTCCTCCCGGCAGTACTTGAACGTGACTGGAGGTGAAGTGACGGCGGTAGTGACGGAGGAACTGACACCTGGCACTCGCTACTCCTTCAGCCTGCAGGCCTACAACCTTCAGGGTCACTCCAGGCACACATCGCCCCCACTCACCGTCACCACCCACGGTAAGACCCCCGAAACAATCACTACCCACGGTAAGACCCCTTCTACAATAACCACCCACGGTAAGACCCCTTCTACAGTCACTACCCACGGTAAAAACCCCTCTACAATCACTACCCACGGTAAGACCCCCTCTACAATCACTACCCACGGTAAGACCCCCTCTACAATCACTACCCACGTTAATACCCCTTCTACAATCACTACCCACGGTAAGACCCCTTCTACAATCACTACCCGCGGTAATACCCCCTCTACAATCACTACCCACGGTAAGACCCCTTCTACAATCACTACCCACGGTAAGACCTCCCTGTGCAATCACTACCCACGGTAAGACCCCTTCTACAATCACTACCCACGGTAAGACCCCTTCTACAATCACTACCCACAGTAAGACCCCTTCTACAATCACTACCCACAGTAAGACCCCTTCTACAATCACTACCCACAGTAAGACCCCCTCTACAGTCACTATGCATGGTAAGACCCCTTCCCTGTACAATCACTACCCACGGTAAGACCCCCCTGTATATTCATAACCTACGGTAAGACCCCCTCTACAATCACTTCCCACGGTAAGATCCCCCGTACAGTCACTACCCACAGTAAGATTTCCCCACATTGACATCCATGGTAACACCACGCACACTCACCCCTTCCCTCCAGTAACTCCTCGGAAAGAAACCCCTTACCACTCTTTCCTATCATCCCAGATTTGCATACCCTCTCAGTCATCCTAATCTGCTCCATCCTTTCTAAATGTCCAAACCAAATTATAGTTTAGGTGACCCTATACTCAACAGAAGGCAATCAGGTTTGTTCCGAAGAGAAGGATAGTTCCAAGTCCTTGAATCAGGAATAGGATTAACGTTTCCAGTGAAAATACTACCACTAATATAATAATAATAATGTTTATTTTTCTTCTGAAGGTATTGCAGAGAGTGCCAGTAGCAGCAGTAGCAGCAGCAGCAGCGAGGGAGGCACGAGGTCGAGAGTGCCACGACTCATCCTGCTGATCATGACCCTGGCAGGCACGGCACTACTGGCACTCAACATGGCAATCATTGCCTGCTTCGTCCGTCGCCGTGCTGCCCACACCGCTAGGGGCGTCTCAGGTGGGCATTCAACACAATAATACAGCATAATACAGTATACTACAATACAACAGAATGCAGTACAATGCAACAATACAATGCAATATAATACGATACAATACAGTACAATGCACTACAAAAAAATCACGATATAATAGAGTACACAGCGGTATAATAAACGACATAACACTTTATAAATCAGTGCGATGCAATGAGTTGGTAAAATTCACAGCAGAGTACAATGCATTACACAAAATACAATAAATACAATCTTGAATTATAATACATCGCAGTAATTTATATATGGCAGTAGAAAACCTACATGTAGACACAGGAGAATAGCTCATCTGGACATTTTGATATTCGTCTGAGATTCCCAGCATCCCAAAAATGTGGATGCCAATGATAACAGAGACTTTAACTAAAGCGACCTGACAAACCATCTTTATGTGGTGCTAAATGATGAATTTTTGTCATTTGAGTGGTTGCCTGATCTCGTCATTATTTCTTAAAGCAAAGGATCTCCAAACTTTTCACTACGAGGAGCCACAACGTATATTTTACACCTATTTGTTTACAAAGATTCATTGTCCTAAACACTGATACGAATCCACCAGCGAATCGCTTCAGATTTGGGAACTGTTCAGGCTGTAAAGATTTATAAAACCAAATCAGATTTCCTTTTTAATACTTTTCTTTCAGCTTGTCATCTGATTGGTTATCAATAATTTCCATTTGACACGGACTTGAGAGTGTTAACACTACAGTCAAATGGATTTTGAAACAGCTTTATTTCATATATTTTCTTCATCTAGATCAAAATAATCGTTTCCAAAATTGTTTTTGCAAGTCATTAATAATTTCTGTTGCAAATTAAGAAGGAAATTCTGGTTCACTTTCTTCATGAAATTTTTCACATGATGGTAAATGAACCAAGTTAGAAACTTTCACCTGTCCTTGAAATATCATCAACTTTGCCTTGAATACCTTGATGTGTGAATAGATCACGAATCAAATTTGCTTCACCTTGCAACTTCAGATTCAATTGATTCATATTGTTTGTCACGTCTGCAAAAAACTGCCAATTTTCAAAGCCAGTCAGCGTCTGATAAAAGTGGTTCAGGTTGATTCTTCTCCATGAGAAATGAATCAGTTTTCCTTCTGAGCTGAAAGAACCCTGATAGAACCCTGATAGAACCCTGATAGAACCCTGATAGAACCCTGATGGAACCTTTTCACAACTAAGCCATCGAACTGCTGTGTAATAAGGCAACTCAACGATCTCAGAATCAGTTTCTTTCAAAAAATCACGAAACAGTGAATGAAATTCACTGTTGAGCAGCAGGTTTAAGAACGCAAGATATATCCACATATTTTCCGCACAATAGATAACACAGTGCAGAAACATGGTCTTTGTGAGTCCAACATCCTCACAAGCTTTTGTTATTTGTCCAGCCAAACCTTTCTTCACCCAGACGTGTTCTTTCCTCCTTCAACTGCCATGTATTGCAGTTTATTCCACTCCAAGTTATATACTAATACAGTTTTTTTGCAGTTCCTTGAAGATGTTTTCTCCGGTTCTTGTGTTATACATTGATGTTAATTCTCGTGTGACATTAAATATATTGTCAACGTCACGGATGAATATTAGTTGTGATGTATCACTCATATAATTCGACTCATCAAGTGCGGAAAAATAAAACTCAAAATTTTATGCTTTGTAAATTCATGGAATATATTGCTTCATATATCCTCAGTTTTACATGCAACAGTAATAGGCGCAAGACTGAGGATTTTGAACAGATTTTGATTTTTCTGGTCGTACCTCTCTCACTGCTTCCATCATAGACTCCTTGATCAGATCTCCATCGGTGAATGTCTTTCTTCTTTTAGCTAACGCATAAGTTACTTTATAATTGGCTTCATTTTCAGTTCTCTTCTGCGTTAAAAACTTTGTTGGGAAAGCAACCTGCGTTGCATTGTTTCTGAACGCTGTGTTGCTGTGACCTGAGAATAACTTGGTTTATGTTTGGTCTCATAGTACCGACGTACTTTAAAACTGCAACAGTTTCGTGGTATACGACACAAAAGGTTTTAACACCTGATGGTATAAAGAAGTACTGTACGACCCAGAGTTTATTAAACAGTCGTCACTCACTCTCCACTGTTCTTTCATTGTTCTTAACTGAAGGGTGACTGAAGGGTGACTGAAGGGTGACTGAAGGGTGACTGAAGGGTGACTGAAGGGTGACTGAAGGGTGACTGAAGGGTGACTGAAGGGTGACTGAAGGGTGACTGAAGTGACTGAAAATGAGGGTTTATTAGTTTTGTTTTTTGGTAAATATTTCGTTGCTGTGGAACGCATAAAATCTTGTGGTGGGCCGCATGTGGCCCTCAGGCTACACTCGGAGACTCCCTACCTTAAAAGGAATAACCTTTGAGTATTGCCCGATCTTGTCATTATCCTAAAAGGATGCTTTCATTTTCACTTAACGATTAATTTTCACTGTGTTATATTGACCACTGAGCACAACACCTGATATGTTACGAAATTTCCACGTTCGTCTGTCAGTGCATATTAACTGAGATATATACATCTCTTGGTATATACAGAGATTCTATTTTAATTCCCCTTTACAATTATAAAAGAATTATTGAGGTTAGTTTACAAGTAAATTGCAGCCTTAATTATTCATATTCAGTCGATAAATGCTATAGCCAATATATAGACAGGTTTCTATATACCTTTGGTACCTGTTAACCAAACAGTAAATAAATACTCGGGTGTTTGCCTCCTTACAACTGCTGTCCCTGTTTGTCTAGCAATAACTAGGTACCTGAGGGTTATCCATTGATATTTGTGTTAGAAACACACTTGACGCAGAGGAAACATTTATTATAATTAAAGTTTCGCCCATACAGTGGTCTTTATCAGGTCTCACAAGGAGTAAAGTGAAAGAACATTATGCACAGGTGAGTCTGAGGTAGGTCTGGTGCCATCTGTGGCAGTGATGTGAGTGGCAGTTAGCGTCTTCTGTAGGATGTGATTGTCTGAAGCCTTCTCTGTTTGCCTTCTCAAAATGAGTTTATCCGATGGTTTGTCAAAATATTTTATGATTCTGTACTATAGTTCTGGAGGTCTCATTGATGTATTGGCACCTATTGCCCCTGTTCACCTTGCAGGAGAGAGAGGTACGGTTCTTGTGGGTTATATCCTTGGGGAGGGGAGATTGTATACCAAACTGGTTGGATTTTAAAATAAGCTAAGGTAGGATAACAGCACTTTGATTGTAAATTAAGCTATGTATAAAAAAATACGATTTTTCAGCTTCTTCAAGTAAGACGACAACATTGGAAATATTCAGCCCAGCGACCACCCCTGGGGGTACGACTCAGGGGGACGACCTTCCCCTTACCACCACCAACACAACCACAGACCTTACCACACTCGGGGGACAGGTAAACAATCACCTTTTCTAGCCTAATTCGCATTAAGAAATTATTCTTGTATTAACATTAGGGCCAAAGACTTACATTAGGAAAATTTGTGAGATAATTATGTCTTCCAGTTACTTAGACTCTTTCGGGTGCTTCTTCAAGAAGCGTTTATTGTAGTAATCCATAAATACTCCAGTGCTCTCAAGAGGAAGTACTGTTAATATTATTATATTGATGGAGAAGCGCCACACCTATAGTGATGATGCAGCGCTTGTAGAATAGTTAGGTATATATTGTCCTTACATAGACGATATATACACTGTGAGCAGCTCTCGGCAATTTTGCAGGACTTATCACCCAAAGTATCCCGAACTCACTTCATGGCGGTGACTGCTCTTCGAGTTCCTCTCAAGACGAAGCTACATTGCATCTTTCGGTTTTGTTATCCTAATATAAACCTACGAGATAAAATTATAAATAGCTAGACGTTTTTATCTGCAGATAGACAGTGTGTAAATAGTTCGTTGGATCTTGTGTCTACCTGTTTCACATATATTACTCCAATGTGTTTTCATCGTGGCAGTCTTATTTGCCTACGTATATGTGGTCAACAACCTTTGAATAATCTTTTATTGTGAACTTTAGGCTAATTTGTGAACAAATATAACCCAGAGTCGTAACTACGAGTGCTTGGTGGTTACAGAGAGTCGAGTGTCAAACAGGTGTAGATGACTTCGAGCAGACGAGCCTTTTCCACGGTGACGAGGAAGATACACCAGTCCTTAGCACGGAAGGCGAGTTTCTCCGCCACACCAGCTTCAGGAGCAAGAGCAGGAGTCAGCAGAACGGACGAGTGCTGACGCAGAATGGCGGTCATACTGTCCAGAAATACCGGGATGATAGCTCCTACTACTACTCTCCCATACCCCAGAACAGTTACACCCTCGTAGATGACGTTCTTTCCAAGCGCACCACAATCACCAATCCTCCTGATGTATGCCCCACAACCTCTGACACTGTTGGAGCTCTTAGCTGCAGGCATCAGCAACAACAGAGGGGCACAACACCCACCTTCCCCACAGAATCCTCACAAGGGTTTTTCATTCACCACAACAATATTCATGGTGCTCATGCGGTCAACAGTTCATCCCCTAGTAAGGATACCATATCCAGACACTCTCCAGGTAACCAGAGTCACGACAGCCTTCATATCAACCGACAAACGCCACAGCAACAAGCACAAAAACCCTCCTCTCCCAGAGTGGCAGAAGGGAAGGAGGAACCATCACAGCAACTGCATCATTTACATTCTCATCAGCAGGTGAAACAGCTGGACCCACACACTCATGCCCTCTGTGACGTCGTGGCCACAACTACAGGTAAGCAAGCCAAAATAAATTTATTCATTCAGGAAATAACGCATTTATTTATTAGTTCCCTTACCAGCATTTATATTATTTTACACTGCAACTTATTTGGTTTATTTAAATAATATATATATATATATATATATATATATATATATATATATATATATATATATAATACAAACACTGATCTCTGGCTGAAGGAGACTCGAACCTACGAACCTTGGAACAAGGTACGCAGTGCTTTACCAATCTACCCACACGGGACCAATACCCTGGAGTCCAGCTTGTGCTAGACTTTGATCCAAGGCAGCCAGCTTTCAGGGAGAAGGCTTACAGCTTTTCATCTCATCCCCTGCATGCATCAGCCTTACTAGAGTTATTAACAATGCAAGGAATTCGCAAGAGCAGGCGAAATATACACAAACACTGATCTCTGGCTGAAAGAGACTCGAACCTACGAACCTTCAGCCAGAGATCAGTGTTTGTGTATATTTCGCCTGCTCTTGCGAATTCCTTGCATTGTTAAAATCTCTAGTAAGGCTGATGCATGCAGGGGATGAGATGAAAAGCTGTAAGCCTTCTTCCTGAAAGCTGGCTGCCTTGGATCAAAGTCTAGCGCAAGTTGGACTCCAAGGTTTTGGTCCAGTGTGGGTAGATTGGTAAAGCACTCCGTACCTTGTTCCAAGGTTCGTAGGTTCGAGTCTCCTTCAGCCAGAGATCAGTGTTTGTGTATATTTCGCCTGCTCTTGCGAATTCCTTGCGCATACATATATATATATATATATATATATATATATATATATATATATATATATATATATATATATATATATTATATATATATATATATATATATATATATATATGCAATAAGATCACAGTAAACAGGTGATTTCAGAATATGCAAAACAAGCACTCTGAAAGAATAGAGAAATTCCAAGCGCTTTCGTGACTACTCACATTATCAAGGAACTATGAAAGTAAAGCATCCAAGGAAGCTATATAAGGGGTCTGGCCAACACCTCACTATCAGATCCCACAACGGTTGAACACCTGACGCGCGCCGACCCAACTTGGATAGGTCCTTTGCACAACTCACCCACAAACTATTCTACCCAAAAAAAATTTTAAATTATTATTTGTCCAGTGTATTATTAATTTCTTCCCAAATTCTATTAATTATAAATGGATCTAATTTATATAAACCGAAGGAAATATTCATATTATTGTCAAAACTGCTTTTTATGAAACAAGATTCAATTATATTCCTGTCGACCATGGACTTGCTTGATACTACTTTCTCAACTTTTTGAAAATCAATTGGATGGTTAAAATCTCTTACATGAATAAATAGAGCATTGGAATCTTGTCCAGTTCTAATGCTATATTTATGTTGTTTTAATCTTAGTTCGAGATTTTACCAGTTTGACCGTAATAAACTTTATCGCAAATTTTACAAGGAATCTTATAGACACATCCATCAGCATTTTGGGGGGAATTCTTTATCAGAGTGGCTGTTTTGCATATATATAATATATATATATATATATATATATATATATATATATATATATATATATATATATAATATATATATATATATATATATATATATATATATATATATATTAATCATGTACTGTCTAGTTATATAAAAAAATATTTGAATGACACATTATATATTGATGAATTTGTCTTTGAAATTCTTATTATTATTATTATTATCAAAGGGGAAGCGCTAAACCCGGAGGATTATACAGCGCCTGGGGGGGATATGTGGAAGGCATTCAGGCTTAATTCGGGGAACTGGAGCACAGATCCAATTCCCTAAATCAAGAGCCCCTCACCAACATCAAGGAACCTTCCTTGAGGGGTTTGAAATTCTTAGAGTATTCACATGAGGATCATTCCTATTATGTTTAGGACCAGATTTATTGATCAGTGTCAGTCATCGTAAACACTTGTCTGACTGCACCAGTCATCGTGTATACATGTCTGTCATTCATTATGTACACACATTTGATTGTCAGTCACCCCGTACACATACTTTATTGTTATTGTATACGCACTTATTTTTCATTTGTGCGGCAGGAGTGCCTGGAGGATATGCTACCTTAGGCCCCCGTAAACACCGCCAGACACCAGCCTCATTCTCTACCCTGCAGCGTTCAGGGTCCTCGAAACCCATCACCACCACTGCAGGAGCAAGTCAACATACCTCCCTGGAGCTGCAGGTGACACCATGTTCCCAGGAATACCAAAGTCACCAAGACCCAGTGAACAGCCGTCAGACTCGCCGCAGTTCCCTGGCACAGCCCCAGCTGTCGCTAGGCGGTGCGGGCATTCCCAGCGCAGGGATTATACAGGAGGATAGCGGCTCCTCGGGCTACGGTGGGAGCCCTCGTCAGGAGTTGAGTGTTCTCGGTAGCGTAAGTACAACCACCGCCGGTTCCTCCCTTAATCCGGGGGTTGGTGGGTCTCTGGTCACCCATCCAACAACTGTTGCTCTTCCAGCTCACAGCACCACTACACTCACCAGACGTCGACTTTCTCAAGATTGTTTAAGAAAAGGCAAACCCGAGTTGCCTGTGTTGCCCTCTAGAGAAACTCATTGTGACGGTATGAGCAACTAAACAGTGTCCAGAGTGACAATTCTGGGAAATCTTGACAGTACAGAAATCATGAAAATCGTTTCCAAGGTCACTTCATTTAACACATTTAACATTTAGCTCCCCTTCTCCCTCCAGATGAGCAACAAGGATAATGTAATCGGTATGTAAGTTAGTTGATATATTTATTATGCACCCCATACTCATCTTGTGGACAGTGTTCAAAAAATTACAGAGGCACATAATGGGACCAAGGAATGGGCCCCACTTGTCTGTGAGAGTTAAGTTATACCGAAAACTGAGATATTATTAATTTGTACAAATACTTTTATGGATATATCAGTCATGGTCATGCCAATTTTTAACCTGTTTATGAACGATCTCTTGTTTCCTTGATGTGGTAAACTCTCCTCTCTGGATTAAGTAATCCAGACTTTAGGGCATACTGGTACTATCCAAGCAGAATGGACTAAATTATACAACTGCTCTCATAGTCTGCCGCTTGTAATTCCGTGAACAGTCCTCCTCTATATAGGAAGTATTTTCTATTGTAAAATGTATAAAAATATTTCCGCTCATCCATCACGGGAAGGCATCTGAACTGTGGCCAGGACTTCAGTGTTTTGGACTGTCTTGTGGGCATCGTTAACATCCACATTGTTATCACTTATAACGAGTTAAGAGTCTCATCCCAGTGATGCAATGATTTATTATGAGTCATTACGAGTGCCAGTGGTTATCCCATGGAAGACCATTGTCTGGACTCATCTCGGACCAGGAGATTTCTTTACGTGACTGTTTATAGTCCTTCCTCTGATCCCCCCCACCAGAGCACGCATGGACTACCCTCCAGTAGGAAATTAGGAAATGGTCCTGGATCATATACAAACCGCGACAGCTTCAACCAACCGGAGGTAGAATCAGAACCTGTGTTAAGATTTCCGTGCCCTGACCTAGTGTATGTGATCTTTAATTGTAAAACTTAAGTAAGCATTTCTCTTGTTGGGAAATGTTGAATCAGAGCTGAAACAAACTTAGGAATTAGCAGTATTGTGGTGTGTCTTGGAGAGACGCAGAGCTTCACAAGAAATGTTCTTCATTCATGCAAATGTGTTGAGATACTTATTTTTGTATGTTGGACTGTATGTACAAATAAAACTCGTAATCAGGCATGTCCAGTCTTACACAATTGTTTCATTTCGAAAACCGTCTATGTATTTTCCTCACTAAATCATCCTCATGTTAATCATCCTTTGAGTGAATATACAACCTTAAAAAGTACTGATAAATGCTACTCATCCTGAGTGGCAATACAGCCATAGACAAAGTACAAGTGCTTCTCACCCTCTGGGTGAACAGACAAAAGTCAAACTGCAGTAGAAAGCTCCTGTAAGAGTGGCGCTCTATGATCCTCACAAGTCTAATACTTTTCTTGAATATAATAATCTTTTGAATAAACATTTTGAATAAACATTCTTTGTGTTGGACTGCTTGAGGGCACACATGTCTGACCCTTCAAAGATGTAACCTGACGCTGGTTAAGGATTCTTCACCCTAAGAGAAGGGGATACCTTACCATACTTTGGATCTAACCTGTATGTACATAACGCAGAGGTAGTGACTTCGGTACACAGTCACAAATGTGACTGCGTACCGAAGACACTAGCGACCCCCACGGTCACAAATGTGACTGTGTGGGTCGCTCTTTCTTTAGTTACCCATTTACAATCATTTTCTTCCTTATTACCATAGAAAATTGCTCTTTCACATGTAAAGAGTAACTTACATAAAAATTATTATCCTGTTTTCATTCTCACTACCCTTTGCTCTTGGGTAAAATAAGAAAAGATTTGTTCTGATTTTTAACCCGGAGTGTTAGCCACCCAGAATAACCCAAGAAAGTCAGTGCATCATCGAGGACTGTGTATTATTTCCTTTGTGGCCCTTTAATATTGTCCCCAGAAAGCGACCCACACCAGTCCACTAACACCCAGATACCTACTTACTGCTAGGTGAATAGGGACAGCAGGTGTAAGGAAACATGTTAGGTAAAATGACACCAGTGCAATTACTGCGGCATTTTTATTGTGGCAACGTTTCGTTCACCAGGAGCTTAGTCAAGCTGTTTCAAACAATATAAGGACAGAGGGAGTATATACGTATAGGTATTAGAGTAATCATTTTTATTTCGATATGTACAAGATATACAGGCCTAGCTGACATTAATGACATACTACTATATAGAAAGCCGCTTGTTATGCAGAGCATTTCGGGCAAATTAGACCAATTTTATCCCAGGATGCGACCCACACCAGTCGACTAACACCCAGGTACTATTTTACTGATGAGTGAACATGGACAGCACGTTCTCACACACTGAGGTCCGGCGATCGACCCCCGGACCTCAGTGTGCAAGCTGAGAGCCCTAGCAGTCAAGGTGCGGGTCAAGGCATAATATAATCGTTGTAAGTAGTAGTGGTAGTTGTGGAAAATTGCATTTAGCTGAATGTATCATTATGTACATAACAGTAAATGAACACATAATTATTATTTATCAGTTAGACAAGTAGGAATTTGGGACACCTAGGTCGCAAAAAATGTCCCCCTTCGATACCTACCACTGTCATATCCACAAGTTGTTCTGTACCTATTAATTAAATAAAATATACATCACCAGGAATACTGGTAAATATATAAATTTGTGGACTGTATATTAAAAAATGATTATATATAAATTCACATATACATAACAGAAGGAAAATATATCTTAATATCACTCACCAATTTGACTGGATATTAAGTTGTATCATACTCAGAAAAACCTCACTAACTAAATTTATGAAAACACTGGCCAGAATTATACACAAATCTAGAGAGCTTATCTGAAGTTCCTGGAGCTGTCTTGTCCAGTCGTCTGATATCTCAAGTTATGCAGGAATGCATGTCCAACAATTTCGCCTCCTATTTGAGAGGTGTCAGCCCAATTTTAACCTCTAGAGCACGAAAATTCCTTCCCATTGAACTAACGTTGTATCCAATTCAAAACCAAGATGTCGAGTGTCCCTTCTGTGCAGGCGCAGCTTCCCGTTTTCGATTACATAAATTTTAAATACAGTATGGCCATCTATTTACAGTTAATAACTACTGTATTTCTGGAAAATATATACAGTATTTTCCACACTGCGGCCAGGTGGAGTTCGTTGCTAAATGACTCAAATTGCTCATTTGACAATGGTGGAGGACCTGGGTACATATAGGATCTGGTCTCCCCACTGCGACATATTACACAAGATTTAATCACCCTTTTTACACTTTGCCATCCTTGTGGAATCCAGAAAGTTTCCCTAATACAATTTAAGGTATCTTGTACCCCACCATGCATTACATTTTTATGGGCATTTAGCACAATTAAATTTGTTAGATGATGAGTTTTGGGCAGCAAGATAGGGTGCTTAGTGTGAAAATTTGTGTGGACTGCCTCCAAGTGAGTCGCCTACCCTGGTAAACTCTGTTGACACCGAGCTCTGAGGTGGGTACCTCAGCCTCACAAGTAGCTTATAGGACAGATTTTCACAAATTATTGATGTTGCAAGAAACTCGCCTGCATGCACGTATAAAGGACTAACTTACTTGGTGTTGCAGCATATATCCTGATCTTCAACTTCCCTAAGCTTAGCCTTAGCCCCTTTGGACTTCCCCTCAGAAACCACGTGCAACCGGGAGCCTTAATTCCTGCAATATTCAATCGTTATTAGTGACCTGCCTGCACCTCAGAAATTCCTATATCCAAGAGGGTATGTATCCCCTAGTATAACTATGCAGACAAGGACACTAGCTTCCAGACTGACGAGAGACACTGGTACTTACTGGGCATGCTCTGCCAGCTGCAACACAGGCCCACAGATCAACTCACTCACAATTCTCCCCAGACACTGGCCAGAAATCTACGAGATAAAGTGGAGGTCTTGTCTTACTGTATGGGCCTGACGGAGGAGGTCATCTATGGTACATCGAGGTGCCTCTGACAGATTTCCCCAGGTCTCAAATGTGAAGACATGTGGGGGCGCCGTCTGCTGATCATGGCACGTCTTGTCCAGTTGGTGTTTGTCTTAAAAAGAACGAGTGGTCTCTCTTTCCCGACCCCCGTCTCTTCGTTAAACGGGGTGCCAATTTTCCCCAGCTAACTTATCCTAGTGTTTGCCCACATTATCGGCCCATTTCTAAAATATGTTAAGGTCTTAGGTCTACATTATTATTACTCAGTTGCCTTAGTAAACCTAAATTATGTTTACCTGATTTTCCTGGGGAGAGTTTCGGGGGTCAACGCCCCCGCCCGGGCTTGACCAGGGCCTCCTGTGGATCACGCCTGATAACCAGGCTGTTGCTGCTGGTGCAGCAAAACCAAATACGAGCCCCCGCCCCGGGTGATCAGAACTGACTTTTTGGGGCTTGTCCATCCAGCTTTAAACCCGCCGGGGTCTTTGGTAAACCCCCTTATGTTGCTGGGGGGCATTGAACAGCCCCCGGGGCCCTACACTTATTGTATGGTCTCTTAACGGCTAGTGCCCCCCCGTTTTTGATTGGGGGGAGGGTGCATCGTCTCCCAAGTCTTTTGCTTTCGTAGTGAGTGTTTTTTCGGTGCGTTCGTACTAGTCCCTCTAGGTTTTTCCCCGGGTTATAAAAACATGTATCTCTCCCTCCTGCTTTCCGGGGAATACAGGTTTTAGAAACCTCAAGCCCCCCCAAAATTGAGGTTTTATCTCCTTTACGCGCCGTGAAATTCCTGTACTTTTTCTAGGTCGGCAATTTCACCTCCCTTTAAAAGGGTGCTTTTAGGTGCAGCAATTTTCCACCCTTTGATAAACAAGTACCTAAAAGAGTTCATCAGGGGCTTGGCCTCCCTAGTTTTAAAGGGTTCTCATTACCATCCTGCTTTTTTCGCAGATGCGATGATACAAGTTATGGTCCTTAAAGGGTGAGATCCTCCGACATAATCACTCCCGGGTCTTTGACTTTGGGTGTTTCGCTCTATTTGGGGCCAGAATTTGTTTTGTACTTTTGGAAGATTAATTTCCTCATGTTTCCCATACTGAGTAATTAAAATTTCTCACGTTAAACTTCATATTGTTTCTGCAGCCCACGGAAAGATTTGGTTGATTTCCGCCGGGGAGCCTTGCAGTGCGAATGGAAACACTGTCATGCAGATTGGGGTTCATCTGCAAAGGAAGACAGGGTCTGTGCTGACATCCTTGTCTAGTCGATATGGGGATGGGGAACAAATGGGAGCTAGTACTGTGCCGTGAACAAGCTTTTCACCGACTGCCTCGGGCTTTACTCTGTTGACGACTACTCCCCTTTTTCGTTTGTGAGAAAATTAAAAAATTTCCCTCGCCGACTTTTTTCCGTTATTCCTTTAGCGCCATTTTTTTTGCCTATTACGCCCTGGTCACACTTTTCGAAGCTTTTTCAAAGTCTTATATATTACACTGCATTCTTTTTTTCCTAGGGATTTTGGACCTGCGGGACCATATTTTAGAAAAGACAGGGGCTACCTGTTCTAAAACCCTGTTCCCTGGGTTGTGTAACGATGGTTCTAATGGGGGGTGACTTGCTTCTTAGGGCCCTTTCAAAATTTTTATGTTGGGGATTTAGTGCATTGTCTTTTGTTTTTTTGCGTTCTTTACTGCCCCCTTTTTTGGGGTGGGAGTCTTTGTTTTTAGTAACTGAGGGACGACCCCCGGGGGGGGGGGGCCCTGCCCCCTCCCAAGGGTGGAAAAGGGTCGTGATAGGGGGTTTTGCATTTCCCATAACACAGAGTTCCATGAGGCTGGGCCCCGGGGGAGAGTGCATGGGGATGCATTTTCGCCTGTTCAAGCATTTGGCGTAGGATAACATCGGATAGGCCCGTTTAACAAATTTTTTGGCTCTCTCAAAAAAATTCATTTTGATCTTCACTCTCATCTGGTTAGGGGGCGCAAAAACTGATCAATTGGACTTTAGTACTCCCATTTTCCTTTCTGCATCTGTGTAGGGCCCATCTTTTTTAAGTAGGGGGCCCCAAAACTGGACTTTTCTCGATTGAGGGGGATAGGAGAAGAAATACTTTTGGGTTTTTTTCGATTCATTTATTTTTTAGTTCTTCCCGCTTTCCCGACTCCTAAAGGGTCTTTAGCTTTAATTTTGATGCCTTTCTATTTTCTGACCAGTGTCTCCCTCCATTTTAGATAATTGACCTCTTTTTCCGCTCTGTTTTCTTTTTTCCCTCGCCTGTAAAGGGGGCGCCTGTCTCTTTCTATTTTACTCACTCCTCCTTTTTTTTAGGGAATAAGCCTTTTGCATACACGAGTGCCACCCCATTAAAACTTCTAGCA